AATAAGGAATTCTGAATATGAGATATAATACTGAATTATTGTCTTCTGTACTTAATTATGTACAGAATACCATGCCGCTTCAGAAATGGAATATAGAATGTACTGAAGTATATGGATTGCAAGTATGTGTCTTAACTAATAAATACTTAGATTATTCTCCAATTAATTAGAATAATTTAAAACGATGTCTTTAATTATTAAGCACTTCATCTAGTCCAAAGTACTACAGTGCTAACTTTTCTGATATAGCTGGCCTTGGGTGTCCAGAATGTTAAATTAAAGTTTATTTTTCCTCTTCCTTTAATGAAAACTGGGGGTAATGTACACACTTGTAAAAAGCAGCAGTAACACTGTTAGAACTGTGGTAAATGTATGAATATGTGCTACCACAGGCCAGTGTTATAAAACACGAGCATCATTTCTGTTTAGCAAGCTGAAAAATTGTTCCTATTGACTAATGTAAAAAAAGTATTGAATGATTTAGAATCCATATAAATTCTAATTAGGAATGAACCATGCAGGTAATAACCATAGTGATTACCACCAAGGCAACGGAAGATGGTTGTAAGTCATGAACCATAGCTCTCCTTGTCATGGCAGTACCATTCCAGCCAAACAGCTGCAGAAAACCAGATTTCAGATAAAGTAAACAATGTACTTTACAGATGGGCAAAAGCCAATTTGCTATTTTGCACATGCGTAAAATACACAAAAGTGCTCCAGAGCCCATGGATACATGCAACTGTTTACTATGGATATCAAAGTCTTACATGGATTTACTAAGAGTGGATGTGCAACACTGTGGATAATAACATCTACCTACATAGTACAGTAGCTACTTTATTTTTCCCATCTTACCTGCAATGTACCAATTATGTGTTTGGTAAACATATTAGAAGAGATATCTTGCAGTATCACAAAACTTCATACCTGTCCAGAATAACAGTGCTGGATTTGTTAAAGTCTAAGAATGGAAGAATTTCTTTCTACCCTTGCTAGAAAGTAGATCAACCTTCTATGTTGTTTTTAAGAATAGAGATACATTTTTCTTTCATAGTTCAGTTTTCTTTCATCTCATAGATCAGTATTCTGCAGGAGCAGGGCTAATGTTAATGTAGGCTTCAAAAATTACTGAAAATGGATTTTGAAAAATTACTGGAAAAGCTTGATGGATGGGTAATCTGTTTATACAATATGTATACCTCTACTTCCAGTTATTGTTAGCAAGCATCTGCAGTAGATGTCAGGATCAGTTAGGACTGACACAATAAAGTAAGGAAGTGTTTCCAGGGTTGTACTGCTTGAAGTTGCAGGTGATAGTTTCTTGTTGAATGTTTTTGCCATGAAAAAAAAATCTTTAAACAAATAAGCAGCATTCCTGGGAGGAAAAAAAAAAGATACATTCTCTTTTTCAGTCATATCATTTTTTCTATTTCTGTATGCTTAGCATATTCATGGAACAGCAGGTAAATTAGCCTCTTGTAGCCTCACATTCTACAGACCAGGAAATGTTTTATCCCTGATTTTCTTCAATATAAGACAAAGACAACATAGGATGAAATACTTCAGCATTATGCTTTATCTACCCCTTACATGCATAGGTGTGTTCAGTTAGAGATGCTGCCAAAAACTCTGCCCCTCTTCAGCCATTTTTTGCCAGTAACTTAATAGGAAGGATCTACTGTACATGTATTCAGTGAGCAGTACTTTGACAAATCTATCCTGTTGATTTGAACAGAAATCACATTCTAGACCAGAGAGAGGTGCATTTTTTTCATTTGTTTGAAAATGTATTTGAGTTTTGTTACATGATTCAGGACAGATTGAAGCTATAATTCAGGTATCCTGGTTTATAAGTTAAATAATTTTTCCCTCTATATAAGGACAATTAAGTGTTTGCTTTTAGTGTAATATTTTCAGTAGTGACCTATTGAAAAACTGGCATAATTAGGAAGTAGTTTTTTGTGTCGAGCAAAAACCTTTCTTAGAAGATCATCCAATTTGATTTGTTATCCATCAGTAACCATGCAAGACACAGCAGTTTAAATTGGAGATTTGTAAAAGTAAACATTAACTTATCCACCAGTATTTCACAGAAAAATAGTCTTTTTTTCCCCCCCATAGTCAACTTTTTTCTAAATGGGGCAATTCTTTTTCACTGATGTACTTATGCTCAATTGCATTGCAGTCCTGTTCCTGTTCATTCTGAAATGAACCCTATTTGATAGGAACTTACTTCCCAGTAAGTGTATTTAAGGTTACAATTTTAAGGATTTGTAGATCAGTTGTAGAAAACTTAGATAAATTGTAGAATAAGTTATTTTGCAGGCTAATCCATAGCATCTAAACATTCTGTATAACAGTAATAATCTGTTTCTTGGTTGCAAATTGTAAGAATATAAAATTTCAAAAATTGGGATTCAGTTACTGACATGTTTATGAAAGAGAAGTATAATTCTGAGAATTAAGAGTTCAGAATAATGGGGGAGAGTCTGTGTCCCCTGATGAGCTTCTTAAATTTCACATCTTGCTGGTAATTTGCCTTAATGGATCATTGAAAGTAGTAAGTTGCTGTTAAATGAGAAAACCATACTTGAACAATTCTCTAAACTTCAACTAAAGCTATCAATATGTAACATTTTGCATTATGGAAGGATCTAACAATTTAATTCTTAGTGTTTAAAACAAAACCCAAGTAAAGCCACCTCAACCCATTTTTTCAGTGAGCAGTTTTGTAATAACCAAATCATAATGTTGTGTATAAAATGATTTCAGAATGTTGATGTACATGTACAAAAATAAAAAAGTCTATGAGATTAATGCACTTTTATTAACAGTTAACACAGTTTGTGCAGAAAATTATATCCATTGTTTTAAAGAGTTATTTTGTTTTGTTTTTGAAACTCATGGAATTTTTAGATCTTTTTTTCTTTAATAGTAAAAGCATTTGTCACATGATAAACTGAAATTGAGAGGAATTTAAAAAAACAGTCATAGCAGATTACCCATTGAATGAATTTCAGAAAAAGTTACCTGTTTTCTGAAATTACATATGAAAGACATGTAAATTTGTGGCTGAAATGTTTAGAAATGGTAATCTTGGAGAATCACACAAACTCCCTAATAAAGCTTTCATCCTGAATTATTATAGGGTAGTATTAGCAAAATAATATGGCATCAAAATTCTGCTACAAATCATACAAGCCTACTTTATATAGATGTTTCTTCTATATCCAATTTTGTCCTAGAAGACATTGAATATTAGAGCTTTAGAAAAAACAATTTAATTTAGAGGAAAACAGACTATAAATCAGTGAAGTTTCAGAAATGGAGACTTTATTTGATGGCTATCCTTCAACTACATACACATTTCACTGTTTCTACCAAAACACATACCTTTACATTTGGATGAATAGATACAGAGATAACATTAAGTGTAGTATGCCCCATTTTATTTATTTATTTATTTATTTATTTTAATGTAAATGGGACCTGTCAATTAAACAATATCTTGTGGACCTAGAAAGTATGCCTACTCTTGGAGTTTCTGCCCTCTGGAATGATCTCCCCACAGAAATTTCTGTGACTCCCACTCTTTTGCCATTTAGGAAATTATTAAAGACCTGGTGGTTCTCCCAGGCCTTGGAGACAGACTGTGTAGTCCCCAGTCTGTTTTCCTTTGGTTCTGGTAGATTTATGATCGATGTTTTGGTTTTCTGGTCAGATGTGTTCTTTGATAGATGTGTTCTTTGGTTTTTAATTGTAAACAGCTTATAGTCCTCTAGGAGTCAAGTGGCCTTGAAAATTGACAAATGTTTGTTTTTATTTATGTGGCTGGTTTAAGATTGGGCCAAAATCTGTCTTCCAGTTTCTTAGGGTTAAAATAAAACAGGGTTCTGTATTTCTATTTTATTTTCTGGAAGTATATAAATTTCTTGGGAATTTCTTTTGGTGTTTTGAATTTATTTTAATGTTGTTCTTATAGTCTACATTTAACCCTCCTTCTACAGTCTCTCTGGCTACCATTGTTTCCTGGTATGAAAAAGTCCTGATAGTGGAATTGCCTCATCATGTGTTCCATTGCAGTTCTGTTAAATTAGGGGAAGTCAGGGAAGAGTAGAAACCTAGGGGGAGAATTAGTACCCTGTTTACTTGAAAATTGTTAAATGTGAATATGCTGCATCTCATCCATCAGAATTTTGCTGAAATAGTGTTTGAAAATATGTTCAAAGTAGAATTGTTGCTGTAGAAGAAAGAAAGCAAAATAAATGTGTGGTAAGCATTACACAGTTTGAGAGACACAGGGAAAGAGTAGACAGTGTTTACACTAATTCCAAACTGGCCATATGATTAAACAGGATGCCTTCAATGGATTCTGCTTCATGGGGGATATATGAGCCAGACTGAAAGTTTACTATACCTCATTAAGGAAATATTTTCTTTATCATGTCCTATTCCTTCCTTAAGAAACAGCTTGTAGGTTTCTGTTGTCACCACTAGATGTCATATGTGCAATCAGTATGGCACTTTTTCAGCTTCTAAACACACCAGTGCTCTCTTAGGAGAGTTCCTCAATTATTAAGAGCTGAACTATTAGGAAAGCAACTCCGTAGATTGGAAAAGGGGAAAGATGGAAGACAACATTGTAATAGTGTTAAGAAGACTCAAGAAGTAGTTGACAGTGAGTTTTAAGATGTTTTTGGTTTTAGGTGTCCTGAAGCATTTCATTATGGAACCTGGGAAATATTGTCAGATTCACTTTGGGCACCCTACATATTCATCACCGACTATTTCACAGACAATTAAGCAATACAGATTTCCCAATGAAGCAAACGTGCTGATGTTGGGAAACAAAATCTTGCTGTGACCATGGAACTGAAAGTCAACCAGCAGCTTGCCTCCTTCCCCAGACACTAATACAGTTTGGGTGCATTTCATAAAAACAAGCCTTTTTCTCTGTCTCATCAAACATGTTG